TAAGGGATTCAACGATGGATTTTGCAGGATAAACTTTAAATCCGGTTCGAGATTCCGACGGGCAACGTCATATCCTGAACGGACTGTATACATGCCATTTTTGTTGTAATGCCAACAATACCCATTATGGGTCCCCACTCGGGATGGTCGCAAAGTCTGTATTTGCGAAATATCTTCTGGTGCTATACAGGTTCGGATTACATCCATCTTCCATGTCATCGAGACAGGATCAATAAGATCTGGAACCCGGAGGTTCAGATCCGGGAGTGGCATGAGTGAACGAGGCACACGGGAGTCTGTGTCACATCCCAAAACCAGGTATAGGATTTTTAGGGACTTAGAATAATTTACAGAGGTTTAGAAAATGGTTGTAGGAAGGAGGAAATGATCTTTAGGCAATGGAAACCTATGGGTCGGCCGTGAAAAGGTAAACGAACCTCCTACAATTAAAAGGGGAAAGGAAACTCTAATTTTCCCTTAAGAAACAAGGGAAAAACGTGGTGAAGAAGGAAGGCTAGTTGGCTTGGCCCGTGTAGTAAGGAGGTGGAGAAAAATAAGGAATCCTCTAGAGAAATTTTTGTGGGGTATAAATAGGGAGCTAGGGAGCTCATATTTTACACACCAAAATCATTCTCCTCTTTCAGAGCCAAAGGGAAACGTTCAGGAAGGAAGAATCAGAGGAGGTTGAGAAAGAACTCAGCACCACAACCCCGCGGTAGAGAAGGTTTATGGTAGAGGTAGGATGTGATCCGTACCTAACTTTCCTCTCTAGTCTTTTCTATATTGCTTCCATAGGGTGTTTAAGTAGTCATGGGTAATCGTCGAGGAAGTTCGGTCTGGATATGGGATCCAGGCTAGAGACTTGGCATGCATAGAGTAGTGGCAGTAGTCCACTTGACCACTGTCAAGCACGAGAGTATCTCGTGGACGGCGAGGATCTACAGTATGGGCACAGAGGGTTGCCGCAAACTGTTAGGCCACCGGTCTGGATGCATAAGGCCTTATTGATGGAAAAAGAGCATCGGCAAGGTCTCAAGGCGCCTCGTTGAGAGTCTTAATCTAGATAGTTGTGCTACGTCTCGATAGATATCGGCATGGCCTCGGGGTGCCCGATGACCTTGACAAAGCACCAGTACGGGTAAAACATACCGTACCACGATAGACAGCATGATCGCATCATGACAGCGGTTTCGAGTTGCGCCAAATCGGGCATCATGTTGCGTCACGATGAATCCTCGTGCTGTAAGGAAATCGATATAGAGACGATAGCGCCACGAGTGAGCCTTAGTGAATAGGACGATGGTGCCTAGATAGAGTATCGGCAGGCACATCGTTAGACACAAGACCGGACCGGCAAGTCAAGGCTTGACGGTGCAGTAGCAGAGCACCTAGTTGGGTCAGAGAGAATCCAACCAAGGACTCGTAGGTGAAGGCAAGGTTGGGAACCTTGACAGGATACTTAGTCTATTCACGTTGGGCTATGGGACAGGTTACATGCGTTGTGAGCTCCGGGCATGGAATTCAACCATAGTCTCGAGAAAACTTGATCGGCCTCGGCATGTCAAGAGTGAGTTGTTGCTTGGTGGGTTGACGGAAGGCTGTGGTTTGTATGGGCGAATCACAGTTGGAGATCAACTCATAATCATATCATTAGGATTGTTTAGGAAGTGAGTCTTGGCTAAGCTATACCCTACCAAGAGAGCTACCTTGGGCCAAATGAGAAGTTAGTCCAGGAAGCCGAAAGATAGAAAGACTAACCGATCATTGAATCTTGGAAATAAAGCTACGGTAGAGCTACCGCTCCAAGGCAGTAAGTTCTACCCGCTGGTTCACTTGTTTGTAGGATCTGACAATCTGTTAGAGATTGTTGCGAACCAGGCAGGAAGCTATTAGGATAATCAAATGGTTATACTAGTAATACCTTAGCTAACCCGACGCATGGTTGTAAGTAAGGTATGGTGAGAGAAGAGTCAAAGAGGTTTGGCGAACTCAATCAGATGGCTTACGGTCAAGGGGATAGAGGATTGACGTGAGATCACTTGAACGGTAGTACAAGTTGGTGTCATGAGCTATCCATAATTAACAGATAATCTTTTTTGTGTGTTTCTGCAGGGACGACTACCGTGTGGTCATAGATGTGTCATGGGTAACGTTATGGGATAGTCATGCTTACATGGGGCCGATCATACGGGGCAAATGTATTGTTTAACATGTTTCGGCTATTGTTTGAGAACGTAGAAGAATGGATTAGGTGAAAATGGAGTAGAGAATTATTGTGACCCTTAGGAGAGTCTAGAGTAGAGTGCATATTAACCGGTAGGATAGTAGGTTCACAAGACCACATATACATATTTGCATAGGGGTGTTTGTATGGGCAGCCGTCGCCGACTTGTTTGTGTTTGGCCTGAAAAAGTGGTACGAAGATCTGGTAGACAAGAACTACCGGAAGGGCTCCGGGAGTCAATGGAGGTTCACCCTATGGGGAAGAATATGTTGTGGAAATTCTGTCGACGGGCAGAATATAAGGTTCGGGCAAGGTCGGATGGGAATGGACTTTCCCCCGTCTTGTGTTGAATAGTGGAGTCTGGGACTCCAGGACTCCCATATATATGTATATTATGTTAAGTATAAGGTCCGAGCAAGGTCGAAAGGGAATAGACTTTCCCTCGTCTTGTGTTGAATAATAGAGTCTGGAACTCTCATATATGAGCACCAAAGGAAGTGCGGTAGCACTTACTTGGCTATTAGGTAGACGCATGGTGCCAAGGCATCATGTGGTAGTAGTGTGGGAAAGGGTAGATAGGTTATGTTAGGTCGTGAGACGGAGTAGACCGTCTTACTGAGTATTCAATACTCACCCCCTTCTTGTAGGATAGGAGATCCGGTTAGGTGGCTCATAGGATGCGGCAAGGCAGAAGAATTAGGCAGATGCGATAGAGGCTTTCCCAAGGCGTCGTAGTTTTAGAGTTCCCGCATTGTAATTTCACCGCACAATGTGATAAAGAAATTTTAGAGTAATGAGATGACTGATTTGACAATATTTTACGGTGGGATTTATAGTCCCTGATACGGGTGTTACAGTCCACATCG